ATTCAGAACCCTGATGCTATGAATAGCTAGGTATCCAACTGTTTTGACTAAATTGCTCGAGGTGTCAATCATGTGTTTTATAGGCAAATGAGCAGCAGAGGTGGTGGAACTACAGATACTCCTTTTCTAAGGAACTACAGGCTTGGAAAAACTCTTGGCCATGGATCCTTTGGTAAAGTTAAAATTGCTGAGCATTTGCAGACTGGGCACAAAGTGGCTATCAAAATCCTTAACCGTCGAAAAATGAAGACTCCCGACATGGAGGAAAAATGTATGAAGCTCATGCCTGGGGTATCTTTATGTTATCAATAGATGTGGTTTCTGTTTTTTCTTTTTCTTTACATCATGAACGTATTTTCGTGAAGTTTAAAACAAGTTTATTTGAATCACGTCTTGGTTTAGTTCATTTGTATTTAGAAGGTCATTCACGGGGCCTCTAAATTTACTCTTTCTTTGTGCAGTGAGAAGAGAAATAAAAATATGTAGATTATTTGTGCATCCACATGTCATACGACTCTACGAAGTAATAGAGACACCATCAGATATATATGTTGTGATGGAGTATGTTAAGTCTGGTGAACTCTTTGATTATATTGTAGAAAAGGGAAGGTTACAGGAAGATGAAGCTCGCCATTTTTTTCAGCAGGTAGAGTCGATTTTTTATCTTGGTCTTTTTATGAATGTAGTTTCTTTTTTCACTGAAATCATAATTGGTTGGTTGTTTCACTGGGGGCAGATTATTGCTGGTGTAGAGTACTGCCATAGGAACAGGGTGGTTCATCGGGACCTTAAGCCTGAGAATCTGCTTTTGGATGCAAGACGCAATGTAAAGATAGCAGATTTTGGCTTGAGCAACATTATGCGAGATGGCCATTTTCTGAAGACAAGTTGTGGAAGTCCAAATTATGCAGCCCCTGAGGTGGAAACATGTACAGTTTTGTTATCTTTAAGATAACCATTTCTCTTTTTAGCTGGTAGGCTGAAGTCATATCGACAACATTTATTTGCAGGTTGTCTCTGGGAAACTTTATGCTGGTCCCGAGGTAGATGTTTGGAGTTGTGGCGTTATCTTATATGCTCTTCTTTGTGGTACACTTCCTTTTGACGATGAGAATATTCCTAACCTTTTCAAGAAAATAAAGGTACATCCATTGATATACTTTTCTGTCTGGTTTCCCTTGATTTTCCGAGCTTTTACAGTTGAAGTAGTGGTTCTTTACATGGTTGACAATGTGTCATTCAGAGTGGGCTCTACACCCTTCCAAGTCATCTATCAGCTGGAGCTAGGGATTTGATACCAAGGATGCTAATTGTTGACCCTATGAAGCGGATAACCATGACTGATATTCGTCAGCACCAGTGGTTCAAAACTCATCTTCCTCGGTATTTGGCCGTCCCTCCACCTGATGCTATGCAACATCTCAAAAAGGTAAATATGACATTACTTTGGTAAGAACAAAGGTTATCTTGTATGTTGCTGAAAGGATTCCAATTGATTTTACCCCTTTTTTGTCGACTGCTGCCTCAAATCCAACTTAATACGCTGCTGCATTTCCGGTAACTTATACTGGACACTGGTTTTTGTGGTTTCTCCACTTGTTACTCCTGTATTTATTCAAGTGGTAACATAAAAGAATCATCAAGTATAATAGACATCAAAACATTGTTATCAATCTTCACTTCCTTTTACGACATTAGGGAAAACTTATGTATCTTGCTGCCATTTCAGAGGATTTTGTTTGACTGGAGATGTCAAAAGCTTATCACATCTATCCTATATATCTCGTTCCTAATGCATATTATTGTTTGTTTATTAAATGCTTGAGGTATGCAATTCTTTCTCTTTACCCATTCCTGCTGATACTATAAGCTGTCTTGCTTACAACTCTGCAGCTTGATGAAGAAATTCTCCAGCAAGTAATGAGGATGGGGTTTGATAGAGACCAGTTGCTCGAATCTTTGCAAAAGAGATTACAAGACGATGTATGTTGCTTCTTACATCATTACCTGCGACTCTGTCTTTTGGCATCACTACTTTTTTCTTCTTGTAGTTATTCTCCATTGCATATGCTTACTAAGGGGTATTGGAAAAGGGAAAAAAAATCTAGCAATTGTAGATATACTTGAATTTTACATTTCTACCTAGAATTTGAGGCTTTTCAATGTTGCTCCTTTGGGGGGGGGGGGGGGGGGGTTTTGTATGCACATGATGCAACTGAAGTTTGGGCTTGCATTCAATCAAATTGATTGCAAAGGGATGAATTGTAGTCAACCTTTTAATTATTTCAGCTTGTTTATTCCTTATATGTCTGTCTCAGGCTACTGTTGCATACTATCTGGTGTACGACAACCGTTCCTTGGCTTCCAGTGGCTATCTAGCAGCTGAGTTTCAGGAATCTGTGGTATGCTAAAGTCATTATCTTTCATAGCATAAATTTTTTGGGCTGTTATTTATTACCCTTTCTGTCAAAAAGAGTATGTGAAATGCAGAACCATTGTGCTGTTGTGTGATCGTCATGAACTATTCTGCCTACTGTGTCACTTCATATAGGAAAATTATAATTTGTGAAAATCCCTTCACATGGAGATACTCTGACTACGGACATGCTGCTCTTTTTTTGCACAAATTAGGATGAAGAGATGCTACTATGTTCTGCAGTTCTCCAACTATATCCTAATTCTGATTCACCTAGCGCTTTCTGTATTATCTCTGAATTTCTTACTGATCGTATCAGAGTCTAAAAGTAGTGTTACAACTCAGAACTAGAGCATTTTAGAACCTCTTTTGTGTTTGGGGTTGGGGGAAGAGGTAGCTGTTCCCCTGATATTTGCTTGATTGAATCCATTGGCTTTCTTGAATATGAAGGTGCAAAGCATGTCAAGAGTCATATTCTTTTGCATATGACTAATTTCAAGATCCGCTACTATGGTTCACATTGTCACTCTTATTACAAGTTTCAGTTCTGGCTTTACACAATATTACACTCGTAACTTCGCTATCTATTCCCAAGTTTAGAACTATGCTTCTTCAAATGTCACATAACTATTTACTATAGCCTCAAGTATTCCACATTCATTAGGTTGACCTTGATATTTACTTTTTTGTGTTTCTTTAGGATGGTTATTCTCCAGGATTGTTTCCAAATCTTGATCTACAGCTGTCCACTGGGAATGGAATTTCTCAAGAAGCGAATTTGAGACACCCATTTTCCAAAGAGAAAAAATGGCTAGTTGGACTTCAGGTTAGTTGTCTTGCAGTATATGTAGTGGAAAGATTGTATGAATTTCCTCAATTTCATCGTTGATTACTTTGTCAGTCTCCAGCAAATCCACGGGAGATCATGAATCAGGTTCTTCGGACTCTGCAAGAACTAAATGTTCGATGGAAAAAAATTGGGCACTATAATATGAAGTGTTTATGGTGTCACGATCTTGATTTTCATAGCATGGCCAGCAATCATATGAATGATGATCATTTTATTAGCAATGCGACTGCCCTAAGTACGCATTTACAGCCACAAACAGCTGTGAAGTTTGAAATGCAGGTATAATCATCTCTTTGTTCCATTATCTTTCAACATAGTGATTTTTTTCATATATTTGATAACTGATGCATAAATTTGGACAGCAGTTTTTGTGTCAGTTCTAATCTATCGTCTATGACCGAGCATCTAGTATTCAGTTACATCGATCGCTGAATCATGTTCACCAAAAAAAGGGAAAATAGAAAAATTCATTCAAATACGGAATACCAGTGATTCTACTAGTAGGAGCTTTTTTTTTTTCTACGGAAAAGGGCCAAATATACCAATAGTATTACGGCAGGGATATATTTGAACCCAAAGTATAACTAAGGGTATATTTAGACCTTTTCTCATAGTACATGGGTATATTTGGCTCTTTGCTGTTTTTTCTATTTGAATCTCCCTAATGTGGATTTGGGTAAATCCTGTTGCAGCTCTACAAAACTCCGGACGACAAATACCTACTTGATCTCCAAAGAATTAGCGGTCCGCAGTTCCTCTTCTTGGATTTCTGTGCTGTTTTCATTATGCAGCTGGAGGCACCACAATGATTGGAAAGAAAGAGGATGTCTGGAGCAATTGTGTATTTTGCTGACAATGAGAAACCTTGTTGTACATATCAATGTGAATGGTTTTCTAGTGTTGTTTTTTCACAATTATATTGTGTTCATGTTTTTATATGGGTCGGTTTTTTTACCAGAAGTAAGCTTTTCCTGATTCATACTCTCTACAAGTGAGGAGCTCTCAGCTTTCTTTCCTACTGATTATAGTGTTCTGACATACACTTGTTTTGGTGTTTTCTCTCAATTAAGATTATACAATATACTTTGCTCAAATTCTTGCCACACTTTTACTTTTAATCTGTCCTAATACTTCTCTACACGAGATACGGGTGAGGTCTGCGTATATACTACCGTCTCCAGACCCCACTATGTGGGATTATACTGGGTTTGTTGTTGTTGTTATTGTTGTTGTACTGTCCTAATACTTCTATCTGCTTCAGTTATGTGAAATGTATTACCACAGTATCTTAAATACTACAAAAAGTTGTACAAATATACTTCTATACATTCCAGTAAAATTTTATCTTTTAGTTCATTCTATTTCTGCGTAAAAACCAATTTATGCACCGGTCTATGTAAGAAACTAAGCTTCAAGTCGCAACTCATACAACCAATTTATGCATGTAAGAAGTGTAGAACAATCTAGTTCGTAATAATAACCATTATCTATAGACGCTTCCCATATTGGGTAAAGTATTAAATTAACTCATATTTCCTTTCAAATACCGAAATCAGAATGGAGTTTTGACACAATCAAGATTTCGACGATGTCATAAGACATTACCACCCGCTTTAGCAAAGGAACGTTGGCGGTCGAAACTGAATTAAGGAGATTGAGGAACTTCAACGCAATATTCTGCCATCTAACAGTTTACAGGTTTTTGTCAGTTCTATTGGAAAACAACAATAAGTATGGAAAAATAACACCTGAGTGAAGATAAATCTGTAAATATAGCTACAAGTACTTAAAAGTGAAACTCAATTAGATCCTCTTATACAGACAAACTTAGGGATGTCTCCAGTCAATCATGACCTAAACAGGAAATCAATCACAGATAAACCAAGATTGCTTGAGAAGTAAAGTAAAAACATCAAAAGCAGAAAATCAAAAAATAAAATAAAAAGGAGTTGGTGTAATATCAGTTATCTTCCTTGAAAATCTTCTAAGAACATAGGAGAACCAACCACCACTCCAGAATCATCATTGATGTTAATTAGCTGCTCCTCTTTATTGGCCTTCAGATTCGTCCCAGGTTGTTCTGAAGAACTTGGCTTTGAATTTTCATTCTCATTCTCCTCCGGAAGATCAGTCTGTGGGGATGCTCCTTCAAGTTGCAAAGCATATTCTAAGTTCCACAAAACATCTCCCATTGTAGGCCTATCAACCCCATATTCTGCCAAGCATTTCTCTGCAGCTTCCACATATTTCCTTAACGCCTCGGGCCTAATGGTTCCTGCAAGATTAGGGTCCATGATCTTCTCCAGAGAACCCTTTCTGTGCTGCTGCATTGCCCACTCTGCTAAATTTACTTGTTCCCTTGGCAATGCTGGATCAAGTGCAGGCCTTGCACATAATACCTCAAATAGGACTACCCCAAATGAGTAAACATCAGATTTTTCTGTTAGTTGTTGTCTTCTGAAGTATTCAGGATCAAGGTAACCAAAACTACCCTTCACTGCTGTGCTAACGTGCGTTTGCTCCAGTGAAGGTCCGGTTTTTGACAAGCCAAAATCAGCCATCTTTGCAACAAAGTTCTCATCCAGGAGGATGTTTGTGGTTTTTATATCGCGGTGTATTATTCCTTGAGTTGATCCAGTGTGAAGGTAGTGTAGTCCTCGAGCAGCTCCTATGCAAATTTCGAGCCTTTGTCTCCATGATAGTGTTGGCAAAGTGGAACCATAAATGTGGTCGCGAAGAGGACCATTAGACATGTACTCATAGACAAGAATCATTTCTGATTGTTCATCGCAATACCCAATGAGTGAAACAAGATGTCTATGCCTAAGCTTGGATAGCAACTCAATTTCAGTTCTGAATTCGTTTATACCTTGTGAGGATGATGGATTTCCTCGTTTTATGGCGAGTTTTATTCCATCTTCCAATTCACCGAGGTAGACTTTTCCGAAGCCTCCAACACCAATGACTGCCTTTTCATCAAAGTTTTTTGTTGCAATCTTGATTTCATTGAAAGTGAAAAGCCGGCCAAAGTTGAGGCCAGAGGATATGATTGTTGAACAACTAGTCTTGCTCTTGCTTGACATGAAACTACAGTAACTGGCATTGAGAGGAAGCCAAGAAGAGAATGTCTTCTGTCTTTCCCAACCATTTTTTGGTTTCTGTCGCCACCTAACAATGCCCATTACAAGCAGTACTATTGCTGTAACCCCCATTGCCAATCCAAAAGCAGCAGCAATTCTCATACCGCGAGATTTTGGCACTAGGCCTGCATTCGGTCCACCAGATGAGAACAGCCCATCCAAACTTCCTGCCATGTTGCTTATCTTCATGACCTCTAACCCATTGAGGATGGCATTTGGGAGGCTAGACAGAACATCAGCCGCGGGCCCCACCTGCACGATGATCGAGCCATTGGTGATGGCAGTGGCATTGAGCACAAAGTCTTTGTAATAAGGGGTGGCCAAATCTGAAGTGAGTGTTGAGAGGTCAAGACTAGAGACCCCCATTATCTCATTAATATAGACATTGAAGTATAACTCATTTAGGCCTTTGCTAACAATATCACAGAAATGCATTCTGATCAAGTAGGAAAAGCTCGGATCAACGTTCATCTCCCACGTTAGCTTAAAATTCGAGTTTGCAACCCCAGCATCAGCCATCCTATCAGCTGTGGCATAAACCCAACGTGGAGCAATCAAAGGCGTTGCACCTCCATCCGGATATTTGATCGTCTTAGGAGGAACCGACACATTCTGAGCTCCTTGTGGAAACACCATATACTGATCATCAGGCAACCATGTCCTCCACAATGTATCATTTTTAGGTGTGACAATTGACCCTCCAATATTAAGCCGATAACTTACTTCAAACGCGAATTTAGACAAGCCATTGAAATCACCAACAGGAGAAACTGCAGCAGCTGAATCAGGAATGAGATCATCTGGTGCTGAGACAAACTCAATAGCATTGATAAAAGCAAAAGATTTCTTCTGAGGTGAAAATTTGAGGGTAAATTGAGATGAAGTAATATTAATAAGATACTCTTTGAACAGTGTTTTACTAGTATCCTTCACTGAGAAATCATGCAGTAAAACAATACTATCACAAGAAACACTGAACATAGCACTTGTTAGATTGTAATTTGGATGTGAAAGAGGATAAAAATACAAACGCACCCAATGCCTGCCTGGTTGAAAAACAAGAAATCTATACAAAGATTCACTTTCAAATATTCTTGCTGTTTGATACAACAAAGATTCAGAAGAAAAAGAAACCTTTTCTTGTAAAGATTTAACAGAAGCTAAAATAGTCTGATCAGTAGACAAGTAAGAAGCAGATTGAGGATCAGACTTAAAAGTCCTTCCATCATCAAGCAATGTAGTATCAGGGGATCCACAATTGATCAGATAAGTATCAGCTGGTGTAAATTTTCCTTTAGAAGTTGAAGTGGCTATATTTGCAAAATACAGTACAAGAAAAGCAAAAATGACAAAATGGTGTTTTCTTCCTCTCATATTTTGTTGTGTGAGAGCAAGATTCTTGATGTTAGAATTACTAGTAGAATTTTTGAATAGACATAAGGATAGCAAATAGTGTAAGAGTAGCACGTTTATGTTTGTAAAGGTCAAGAAGAATATTGTGAGCTTAATGAAATGGCTAAAAATGAAAGAACATTAGTTGTTAACATGTTAGCATAGAACGTGCCATCTTGTATAGTTGTTTGAAAAATGTAGACTTTTTCTTGGAAGAATTTAGTATTTGAGAGCTTTTTTCTGTTAAGTCCCCACAAACAGTTTTAAATTATAAGAAATGATTTGATTAACTAACAACAAACACAAAAGTCCAAAAGCGCGTATCCAGCTGGGAATATAATGCTTAAAGAAAAGATTGTTAATTAGTTGACCTTTGAAGGGAAATGGCTATCATCAATAGCAGAATCAGATAATCTGCCTTAGCTTATGCAAGTTGTGGGACCAAATCACCCAAGTTTTTGGAATTTTAATTTATCTTCATTAATGCCAGTTAAGTAAGTTGGGATTATGGTCTCTCTTATTGTCCCTAATTCTCTAATCAACTGATTTTTTCGGTTAATTAAAACGATTATTGATCTAAACTAACTAATTGATGGAGAAAAAAGTAAGAGCCTTGAAAGGTAATTGCTTCCTTGTACGCAAAATATTGTAGCTGGAATGAACATAGCAATAAGTCCATTTGCGAATACTTAATAAAATCAATTTACATTCATCCTTGTATGGCATAAAGAAAGCTGAAAACAATAACTACACCTCGAATCCAAGCAAATTGATAGTCGGCTATGTGAATTCTTACTGTCCATATTTTGCCGCGATAAGAGTCGTTACATGTCTGAAATATGGATAAAAACTATTGAAATCAAATAGGCCTTATATAAATGAGCTTTATACAATATCAATCATTTTTTCAATAAATAAAAAAATCAGTCATATAGTATAAATAGTGGAATTAATTACATATCGACCAAAAAATTCATTGTAGCCGGCAGCCTTGTCCTTCTGCTTTTATTTAAAGGAACTATAACATGTTCACCAAATATTATTGAAGTTGGCAGCCTTGTTCTTCTGTTTTCACGTAAAGGAATCCTCGCCTTATCCTCTACAGATAAATTAAGCACAATCAACAAATAATAAAAAAGGGATATTAGTGCCTAAAAACGCGGCTTTTTGACCATCTACACGTATATCTAATAATTCCTTTCGCTTTTTTGTGTTTTTTTTTTTCTTCCTGAATCCCCTTAGTAAAAATCCTGCTTCCGCCGGGTCAACGGCCATTAGCCAGTGCTCATGATGTTACAAGCAACGTCCACCGTATCTCTAGAAGCAGGTCTAATTTCTCAAGTGTGTTAAGAAGCATTTATTCGGGCAACAAAACATAAATTACTATTAATGTCTACTAATACTTTTTAAAGCTTGATCATGGATGCACCCAAAAGCCATGAAAAAGCCTATACATAATGGAAAATTTCAGCAACTCAAACTCACGATCCTATCTCCTTTAATACTTGTTATGTGCGTTGATAAAAAGCCATTTCAACCTCTCGTCAATCATGTACTATATACCTCTACTTTGATACTCCTTTTTTGCCATTGTGCTAAGAATCCAACAATTTTTAGCCGAGGGTCTTTCGGAAACAACCTCTCTACCTTCATAATATAGGTATAGGGGTAAGGTCTGTGTACACACTACCCTCTCCAAACCTCACTAGTGGGATTTCACTGCGTTTGTTGTTGTTACAACTAAGAATCCAACAATTACGAAGATCATGGTAATAGCAGCATAAGTATAGAGTAAATCAGAATGAAGACAGAAAAATAGACAATTAGAATTGTTAATATCTTACTGATGATCTTGAATAAGCCTCGAAACCAGCAGAACTCGGCGTCATTGATACAAGTAGCATCAACAGCTGAGATAAGAGCAAAAAGCAAGTAGAGTTTGTGAGAGAGCAGTGAGGTGAAAATGTGATGAAGCTACGAAATTCGTCGTTTAGTTTTACTGTGTATCGCGGGATCGACCCACCGTTCACAACAAAAGAATAACCTAAGTCAATAACAGTCCAGGTCTTTACAATAAAGAATAGTTGAAGTCAACAATACATCTCTCTGAAAGAGGAGAGTTGGGTTGAGGATCCATCAATATTGGAAATGTGGATCAAAAAATGTTGAAATCAAATAAGCCTATATATATGAGCTTTACACAACAATCAATCATATATTACAAATAAGAATTAATTACATATCGACCAAAAATTCATTGCAGCGGCAGCCTTGTCCTCCTGCTTTCATGTAAAGAAACTATTACATGTTCACCAAATATTATTGCAGTCGGCATCCTTGTTCTTCTGCTTTCATGTATAGGAGTCCTCGCCTTATCCTCTGCAGAATAAATTAAGCACAATCAACAAATAGTAAAAAGTGACTAATCAAGAAAGAATCCCAGAGAAAAGATATAGAACATTCCACTTGTAATAGCTCCTCAAGTAATTCAAGGGATATTAGTGCTTAAGAAACATGGCTTTGACAGAGACGGATTCAAGATTTTAATTTCATAGGTTCGATCTTTAAGGGTTCTTAGCAGAACTCAGTGTACTATTCAAATTATGGGTTAAGACCTAATATTCGTTGAAAGTTTCGGGATTTTCACATAAAATCCTTACTCCCCATCGAAAATACTGGGTTCGGATGAACTCAATGTCGAAGCATTAGATCCGCCCTTGGCTTTATACCTACGAGTACGTTTCTAATCCTTCTTGTCCTATGTTAGAATATGTAAGGCAATTCGCTTTAGTTGCTCAGCTGCCCTTTTAGCCTAGTGCTCAAGACATGCTACAAGCAACCTCCATTGGCGTGGCGAGACCTTGTTCTTGAAGAAAGGAGTTCAAGAAAAAGATAGTTTAAATGAAGTGCTAAAGAACAAATACCTCATGTGTATCTCTTATCTGAAGCAGGTCTAATTTCTCTGTTGGTCTACGACTGGTCAGGGTTGTAAGCTGCATTTATTCAGACGCCAAAATATAACTAATTCATGTCTACTACTTGTTTTTAACTTGAACATGGATTCAAGTGTTACCCAAAAACTTAAACGCTCAGGATCCTGTGGCGATGGCATCAATCCTTCAGCTTTGAAGAGTTCTGCGCGTCTACGATCTGCAGGCAAAGTCTAGGTCATGATGTTACCAAAAGGATATTAGCCAAAAAGAATAGCTCTACTAAATACACAAAGCAGAAACACTAAGGTCAGTTCTCTGCTGAAGCCATCCAATATATTACTAGATTGACAAGGACGACAAGTTTTCCAGGTCATGTTCACCCGATTTTGATTGATAAAACTATTTTTTGATAGTTCAAAAGGTTCCATTGATATCACACCAACAAGGTGTGGCATTTACGGAAGTGCGGTAGCATGTATATCAAGCCTTCAAAAATCTAACACCTATCAATGCAAGTGGTACTTCTAGTTTCAAAATCTATCTATGAAAGTGTTGTCGCTATGTATTGAAGGATCAAAAGACATCAAATCGCTATTACCAAAAAAAGAACATCAAATCTCATCCCACAAATGGACCTATTACAATCATTTGCCACAAAGGAGACAAGAAAAGGAAAACTCTATTAATGACTTTACCTCCTGCCACTTCTTGTGCGTTCCTCAACCACTGTTGAGCAAATGCCGCCGCCTTATTTGCCATCTCCAGTAACTATCAGCAATTGACAAATTACAATTGAACATTTATAGCTAAGACACTTGAGCGACAAGCTAGAGTTTGAAATGCATTAAGCGGTTGACAATGAATTAGTTCCTGGTGAAGCAAGGCACAAATGCGCACAGAGTATACAAGTACATACACACAAATACACACAGTATATATCAGTAAGCATTGAGAGACGGAAACGAGCTATTTCCATCATAATTCAATGGTCAATAAGAGAGAATGGAAACATTTTCTCATATGAAATATAAGGCTGTCAATTATCTAGTTGAATTTTCAGAGGAATCCCGAAAAAACATTTTGCCCAAAAAATACTCAACCAGAGAGACACAAGAAACAAGAAACTTTCTTTTAGCAGGTAAAGAAGAAAAGATTCATATGCCACAAAAATAAAGATCCTACATGAAATGGATCAACAAATCTCTCTCAGAGGAAATGCTGTACAACTTACTTCATGCCTCTCTCTTGTTCCTTCCGCTGGGCATATATCCTGTATCCATTCAACCTCCGCAACACGATACCTTCATAATAATGGCCAAGGAAAAATATAAAAAAGCAAGCTTAAGCAAGCATAAAGTAGCAAAACAATGGAAAAATAATAGCATCGGTGCTGCGCTTAATATTTTGGGATGGCATATTGGATCCAACCTCCTGACTCACTGCAAAGCAATAAAAGGACTAATCCAGATATTTCTAATATCCCCTCTCCATAGTAAAATTTCACATATTGGCTTTTTTTATTTGATAGAGAATTTACTTCTGAGAAATAAATTAAAAAGGAAAATCATTTTCTTCAAAACGTTTGTATGAAAGGAAAAGGAAAGTTCAAAACAAGAGGAAACCAATTCCTTCAAGTTCCTACACTTTTCCCAGGACTAGAGGATTTACTTCTGAGAAATAAATTAAAAAGGAAAATCATTTTCTTCAAAACGTTTGTATGAAAGGAAAAGGAAAGTTCAAAACAAGAGGAAACCAATTCCTTCAAGTTCCTACACTTTTCCCAGGACTTATTGTGAACTTTTTGAACTGCTTTTCCTACATATCTCCTGCTTACATAAACGCACAGGAAAGGTCAGAAGTTACTTTTCTGCATTTTCCTTTATTCTTACTACTTTTTAAACTTAACTACCCATTTCCATCTCTACCAATAAAGAGTTGGTAATTGAACTAACCCGTCTTGATCCCAATATTGTACGATGCGACATCTACGTCGACTTTCAACCTGCATAAATTTGTGACAAATCAGACACAAATTGAAAGAACTTTGAAGATTTGTATGAAGAAAGAAAAGATTCAGCAGAATTTCGGCTAACTTATGGTGGAACATTTAGACATGACAAAACCACTGACGGAAACAACAGCTTTTTTAATTCATCCTTAAAAGAGAAACAACCAAAACCAGGGTTTATTTGGCAAGGAAAAAAAATTCTCAATTTGCTGAAGGGAAAGTTGGTCTCAGTGTTCAAGAAGAACATTTTCACTTGCTTAGGGGCACAAAAAGTAGCTATAGTGTTCATTTTGACACAAACGGTCAGGTGCACCAAGGATATTGTACATGGATGCTATATTATACATGCTTTATTGTGTGGTAAAGAAAGTTGATTATTTTACACTTAAAAGTCCTCATATAGCAGTTAGCACCCTCATATTAATGAACTCGTAAGTAGTAAATAAGCAATGCTAAAGGAAGGCTCATGGTACAAAAAAAAAGGCAGATAATGGGATGAGACAAAGAGCTGATATTCACCTCCAGATAGAAACGCCCGTCTGGAAGTGGCTCACATCTACACGAAGAGATGCAGGTTATCAATTTCTATAAAACAAGAATAAAATGATGGAATCTTTAGAAGAATAAACGTAAAAGATATCCCCAAAATCTGAACAGCTCGCAAAACACCTACTCTATAATCTCCACTTCACAAGCATAATCAGCTATCGAACCCGTCGTAGGATCAACAACAGCCTGCATGATTAATGGTGAAGCCTCAGCCAAAAGTGAAGACTGCAAAACCAATAATAACAACTGCGGAGAAATCAAAGGAAACTACCATTCCCATTCGACGATTTCCTTCCATTATCCTCCTAACCTGTTTCAACAAAACAATTTGTAAACTTCTGCAAGACGAACTAAAATAGGAGGCCATCTCTTGCAAAAGTAAGCAGGCCTCACAGATTGAGCGGTATCGTTTTTTTTTTGGGAGAATTAACTAAATAGGATAATCCTACTTCTTTTTTTCAATAACTAGAACTTCTACTATTGGTGATAAGTTCAACCATCCACACATTTTTTACCTAATCTTATCATTATGTCAAAGTAGCACAAAAGTAAATTTTCTTTCAAACCTTTTTCTTCTCATCTATATATCTAGTAAACTAAGACACAACAATTGGGGCCATAGGTAATAGAACTCTTTTTTTTTTTTTTTTTTTGAGAAGAAAAGATCTGGAAATACAATAATGATGGTTCATCTAGGTCGTGACAACCATGCGAAAGAGGCAAAACTGCATTCTACACTAATACTCAAGAATATAATAGTTAAGCAGCACTCACCATAAGTCTGTAACGAGGTTCAAAAATGTTAAGTGCAAGCTTCTCGCATGGTAGAATAACGTCCATGACAAAAAGAGGCAGCAAGTCAACACCAAGGTTTATAAGACTGTCATTCTCAGCCTTCCTTTCAGCATATTCCTCGGGAAAATTCTTTTCTATTATGTTATTCAATGTTACACTGAAAAAGTGCAAAATAAGAATGAGGCAGTAGCCACACAAGACAAAATATAGATAAGGCAATCTTAGCCACATGGGACAAAAATGTGTTCAATAAACTCATTAATATTAGTGAGAACAGTCATCAAGGAGTGTAAAGGTACAGACACGATATTTCATTCCTTTTGCAGGAAGACTTTTGGTCCAGACAATCCATCTCTTTTATAGCATTAAAAGAGAGGAAGCAACGAAGCATGTGACTGAATGACGAATACCAGTAGGATCAATTACTATCCCAAAAAGAAAAAGAAAAATAGAGAAGCTGTAGTCTCAGCAGTAAAGTGTAAAACGAAGTACAATGGGAGGATGTACCATAAGCAACTAACCTGATTGCACATGTTCTGGGACTAATGAAAAGAACTGTTCGGCACAATGGGCATCTGTTATCTAGAAAAAATTTCATCCAAAGAGTAAAATAAGAGTAAGGAGATGAGAATACGATGGTCGTAATTCAATATATAAAAAGAAGCCGAGGTAGATAGGTAGGCAAATATAAAACTTACATCGGTCCATTGATTGGAAGAGGCATGCACGGCAAAAAGAATGTCCACAAGGAGTTGTTATAGGTTCATATAATAGCTTTAAGCACAGAGTACAGTCAAAATCATCACTGCGCTGTGGTATCCCGTGGCTTCTCGTTCCAAGTGTAGCTTTGATCGATTTCTCCAAATTTAGAAGGGGATTGCTACATCGCAGAAGAAACAGTGATTAAGAACTCACCACATAATCAAACTTTATCAAAATGCTTCTGGGAAACAGAAACAAACATGGAAAGCATGCTATAGTTATGCAAATTACCATAATTTGCTTTACCTTAGAGGATTCACTTGAAGGCCTGAACGGATTACATCTTGGGCTAGCTCATTTTTTTCTAACTGGCAATTCAAGAAATATGAGATGAGTGTCCAAAAAGATTATCAGCCAACCAAATACTTAACAAGAGATTGGAAGTATGGCAATCACCTTCACTACATTCAAACAGTTACAAACTAGTTCACTAGTAAAGAAATAAGCATTTGACGAGATAACATAAGACCATTGAGTGAATTAGACAATTGAAGTATGTGCCACTCTCATGATAGAACAACGAATATTACGTCGTCCCCACACACTAGGACAACCCCAAATTAGTTATTTCCCCACCTCAAAGTATAAAGAGTTTAGGAAACAACAAAATAAGGAAATAGAAAATTAGGCTATGTTCCAAAGTCCACCCATGTTGAAACCATGTGTTTTTCAAGTTAATGATGCACAACATATAATGTCCTTACCAAAATGAGTGAGTTTGCCTTCAGAATATATGAGTTTACTGAATTGTTCTGCAGATGCATCACCTTCTCAGCATCCTTTAATGCAAGCTGACATTGAAGTAAAACAATTTAAATTTGCTGCAAAACCTCGTATTGAGAAGATTGAAATCATAGACTATAGCAAAAATCAGACATACCCCAGCAAGTGTTGTAGGATCCAACCCACTCAATGGCCTGTATTCTGAATCTGATGCAGTTCTACTTTTCAGAAATTGGCTAAACCTGGACGAAAAACTAAGTTCAGCCACTTGGGAACTGGCTAGCAGTCAAATAGAAAACACAGAGTAAAGATGGCAAAGTCAACAGAGATGAATCACAATGGAACATTCAATATGCATAAGTACCAGGCATTAAATAAAATTTACCTGAGGTATGAAGCGCATCTGTTGCTAAGAATAATAGGATCATTTGGCCTAGTGTTGTTAGCTCTTGTGTAACAATTGATAGCCTGACCAAGGAAACAGACTAATTGAGAACAGAAGAAGATAAACGCAACTATGCAAGAACACAAGCCTTTTTAATCATGATCAAATAACACATTAAAGCCTGAAAATCATTCTTGTGAAGGGGCTAGTAATGGCCAACATTAACGAAAAATGTTGATCACTAGACTAGGCACTTGTATGTTGTCAGAACAACATCAAGAACATTACTTCAAACCAGACCCCTCAACCACCTTGAATTACCTGTGTCATGTAGTTACAGATGGATATTGGACCACATGCACTAAATTCAGATCCCTAAGTCTCAAGATTTTCTCCAAATCTTTAGATTATCGAACTGCCCGAGAAACTTCAACTCCTCAAGAAACACAGCAAAAAAAAAAAAAAAAAAAAAAGAAGCTAGTCCATTCTTCATAAACCATGAGAAAGGGAGTTCATAAACACTTCGGCTTACATCTTATGCATCTTTCTAATGCCTAAGATAAAAGTTTTGATTGCTAACAAAATAAATATTTTGAGTTACAGAATACAGAAAGGTACCATACCTCATAAAAAGAAGATGAAAAATAAAAGGACAAGGGTGTGTTTTGCTATGGGAAAAAATATTTTCCATGATGAACCATTTTCTAGTTTTCAGTTACCAAACAATATTTTCACGAAATTATGAAAGGAGGTCAGTTTCCTTTCCAAGTATCACTCACTCGTACTCCATATTACTTGCTTCAACCAACACCTAAACACTGTTTCGATCCTTTATGCTAAATATCACCAAAATACTATTCTCATGCCCTATCATCCAACTTTTATGATCAAATATGCCACCTACTTATACCCAACCAAATGATAGACATGGTTCATAAGATGATTTCCCAAAGTGAAACATTTTTCAAAACTTCTTCTAGCAATGAAGAAGATACAGGCAAGATTCATGAGATCACTACTAACATAGCCAAGATTGTTAGAGATGAATATAATGGTTTCAGATATATGTGATCAATCAATTCCATATAAAGTTACCCCTGGAAACAAGTCATGTTCTTGGGATTCCCCAATTGCGACATTTCTGAAAGGCAATCAAGTCGAAGGCAGTTAAATTGCACGTCTCTTTCTGTTTTTTTTTATTGTTTCTTGGTTCGAAATCTTCAGTTCTCAATTCTTTAATAGACAACGTTAGTGAGTAACACAGGTACATTGACTAAAGAAAATATGTTTATCAAGAAAATGAAAATTTACCTCGTCCCATCTGTTCTCACGGTATGCTTTGTTGCCCGTTTGCACTATATCATATAGATGACTATACCTGTCCCACGACATAGATGGCTCTCCTTCATTGGCCTACATTCATCAAAAAATTCCAGAACAAGTAAGTATCAGAATCAAAGAGACTAAATAGACCAAACAGGAAATAAGGCCCAATAACGGTGGCCTTGTAATTGGGATTGAGAGAGAGAGAAAAAAAAATTACTGACCCATGGATAATCTTGAACATCATCAAGGCCCTCCAAACAAAACCCAGAAGAAGAAACAGAAACAGAAGCAGAAGCGTCGCCGGACATTGTAAGCGAGAAAAATTAAGAGAGCTATAATAGAAGAAGTACTAGTACTGAACTGAAGAAACTTAATTGCAGGTGAAGAAGGGTATAAAGGCGAATTGTAGTTGTATCGTGTTCTCCCAAGAATCCTTCATTACATACATGGACTGTATTCGTTTACGTGGTCCTTCACTCTCTCTATCCTCATCTTGGTCTTCTTTCTCTCTCTCTAGAATTTTTTTCAATCGTATACGATTTTGGCGTTACTGGGAGAGCTTTCGTTCTCAAGAATAAAGTACCCCAATTTTTTCACTTGGGGAAAAAAGGATTCAGAGGTAAAGTCTTCCATTCATATTTATAAGCCACAAATTGCACCAGCCGTTCCCTTTAAAAAAAAGGGATTGTGTCCCCAATAAAATAAATGAAAGTACTTTTCCCATCTTGATTTATGCGATAGTATTAATATTTTTATATTTAAAAATAATTTAATTATTTATTTCTTATTTTTCTCATATTAAATTTTTTTTATAACCACACAAATATTAGGATACGCTCTAATTGTAAATTTCAAAAGTTTTTCTTACTTTCCTAAACTCCGTCTCAGGTCAACCTGCTTTACATGTAAATTAAAACGGAGGGAGTACATAGTTTAATTTTCATCATCATTTTAAATATAATATTTTTAATTCTCTTCAAATTTTTAAAAATGGTAACCCCCGTTTTATATTTGTAAAATGCATAAAATTTCTTATTTTTCTCATATTAAATCAGCTTTTTCAAAAGGTATTTGGGAATATATGTCCAAACGGGAAATAACTTTGAAATTTTCATTTTCTTTTTTTTGGTTGGGATGAAAATTTCATTTTCAAAACTACCCAAAAACTGATCACTTTTTATAACTAAACAACATTCTTTATTTTTTTTAAATATAAAAAAATTATTTATGGCCAAACCGAAGCTTATATTCTCGTATTATAGGGGGCAGGGAGAAGAGATCGGCAAACGAAGCTCCCAAAGTATAGGCATGGGATTTGTCATGTTATTCGTGTCACGTTTTTAAGGTAAACTAACCTTTTCGAAATAGAACTAGCACTAACTTTAATACTTTCCTCCGGTCCATAATAAGTGATTAATTTATTTTTTTATTTTGGTCCAAAATAAGTGTTCGTTTATATAATCAAGAAAAAATTCAATTTATTTTTCCGAAATTATTCCTATGTACGTATCCCGAAAAAATCATTTACTCATCACATTTGAGAAGAGAAGTAAGTGCTACTATAACTATGGTTCAACATTTAATGAAGGGTAGTTTAGTCACACTAATTATTTTTATTTAGAATTTAGCATTTTCTTAATGAGTGTGTCCAAAGCAAATTAATCACTTATTATGGATCGGAGAAGAGTATTGTTTATCAAGTACTCAAGGATGAGTTGGATCCATCCAAACATTGGAAGAGGCCGATAAGCTATTGATGATCATACTGGCCATGAATACTTGGGAAAACACAACAAACAAATACCTCGAAGAAAAAAAAATGTTTGTCTCACAGAACATAAAATTAAAAAGAAAAGACATCTCCTATGTATTTTTCGAAACGCCAGATGGTGAACAAAGAAACATGGAAAATATGGATGTACAACAATGCACATATAGAGTCCTTCCGCTCAGTAAATTTATAACCTTTTCTTATTAATTTATATATTTAGATCTATTTGAACAAATAATTGCTAAACCAATTAGTGAAGAGTTAAAGGCTGAATCTCAGTTGAACTTAATAGTTTCTAGACCAAATAAAATTTTGTACTTATATAACGGGTAGAGTTCAAGAATATTAAATAGCGAATTTAATATGCTACGATTGATAATAAATATGATAGCACAAACGTGTAATAACGGCAAATAATGACAAGGAATATAATGGAAAAGTATCTACCACCCAATTATTATATGATTGGGATGTCACTTTTCTCTAATGGCAACGTAGAAAAGTGAGAAGTCAAGATGGATATGAAATCTTGAGATTTATGGATAGAGGTTGAACAACATGTGCTTGAATAGATCACTGAATAAGACAACTTTTTATATGTTCTTCTCTCAATCTATACAATGTGTTCTATCCCAAAAAAGCAGATCCCCCTTTTGTTCCCTATCTCTTCTTATTTATAAGGGATATTTCCCAAAAACCCTAAAAGGTACAACATAAAGAATATCCAAAGGAATATTCTTTATGTCCACTTCTGAACTTATACTGTCGTTACTTCCTTATCTCAGCTGCCCGCTTCTGGCATCAGCCTTTATGAGAACGACCTTCAATCGTCATATCGTGCTCGACCCCGTCCTGTACCTTGCTTATCCGTTACCATGGTCACCAAATTTGGACCTATACAGTTAGTCCCTTCGCTTGTTGGGGTCGTAGCCCCGCACGTCCTCGATAAGTGGACCATTTATCTTCGTCTCGGGAGAATTTGGCCATCGAATTAAGCCGAGTCGATCGAGACCGAGAGAACGACATAACCAGCGGAGTCATGATTGATGTGGTCATTAGGGGGTGACGTCACAGCCACGCGCGTTATCACTACGCATCTTCCCGAGATAGCGTCTGTGTGCCTGTTGCTTTGGTTTTGGCACCATTGACGATCCTTCGCTTTGATTCTTGTGCCATTTAGCCCTATAAATAGATGAGGGTTTCGTTTTTTCAAAAGTTTCCACCATTCCCCTCCTTGCATGATCACTATTTTCCTCTGATCTTCTTTACTAATTTCTGTTATTAACTTTGTCTTCACGATTCCGTTTCTCTCCTTCTTAACCAGTCATCACCTCTTTCTTTGGGTTTAGTAGCACACGTTCCATCGTCGAGATGTCACATACCCTTCGCATTCATGACGAAGTTTCCGATGCCACTCCGTTGTCGGTGGCTCCTCCTTCCGGTGGCGAGGATCTCGTGGCTGAGGAGGATGAGAGTTTCCCTACCGTACAGGAGATGGTTCCCATAAATCCCCTGTCCAGGAATGATTTCCACAAGGAACCCGCTCCTTCTCCTATTCCAGTGATCTCCGAGACCGGGCCGTCTTATATAGCTGAACTCCAATCTACATATCATATCCCTTCTCACGTCGAGATGGTCCCAGCTGGCGGTAATATCGTGGAGGTCCATAGGCCTGGGTACTGTGCCTTTTACGTTTACCCTTTCTTGATAGGTTATACTCTCCCTCTTCTTCCACTTGCAGAGGAGTTCTGTCATTTTTACAACGTCTGCCCGGCACAGCTGTCTCCGTATTTGTATAAAGCTTTCCTAATGCTGACAAAGTATGCGGAGTTGGCAGGTTGCGAGGTCGACATCCGCCACCTATTGCACTTGTTTTCACCAAGTTTTTATAGAGGCACCATGATACACCTGCGGCATCGCGGGACCAGGGGGTTGATAGTTGGAATGGATGATAGGACGAACCGGAAGTTTTGGCACAAGTACTTCTTTATCAAAAAGGAGCACTTAGTGTCGGACCCTGCTTGATTTCCCGAGCAGTGGAATCACAATCATAAGTGTTGTTGGCATACGCTTGTTATCTTTTTTTGTCCCTTTAGATTTTCATTCATTTGTGATTTCTTTGTGTTGTTGTTGTTGTTTTTTAACTAAGAGGCGTGCACCCTTTCCCGTCGTCGGCATTGACGACTGGGTGGCTCGCGTGTTACCTCACATGGCGGGCATCCGAGATTGGGCGGTCTTCTACAAACACTTTGGACCGAAGGTTCCGCCTAGTAAGTGTTTACTTTTGTTTCGGCTTTGCTATTTGCTGCTTTCTATTGATACGACTTTTTTGTGGTGACAGGTCGACGACCTTCTAAAAAGAAAGCTCTAGTGCCGGCATTTCACTAGGCCATTGCATCGGTAGGGATGCAATTTACTTTGGCTGAGTCCGCTCGTGGAGGTCGTACTCAAACTTTGTCAATTAGGGACCCCTCTCTTTGGGATACTATTGCACGGGACGAGATCACTTCCCGGCCTATCTACCACATTGTAGACGAGTCTTCTAACGGAGAGGAGTCGCCATCAAGAAAAAGGGCAAGAATGTAACTCGAAAAGACTATCGCCGCTAGCGTTGAAAAGAAAAAGGTTGTTGCCTTGAGAGCGGCGTCCTCACCTATGCCAGATGCAGGGGCCGTTTTTATGGTGGATGCTATTAAGGCGGAGAGGTCCCCTGTGGCCGAGGAGGTATACCAGAGCGGGGAGCCTGCACGGGCCACTAAGGGTGGTGTGTCGTCGGTGGCCGGAGGAGATGGAGTAGCGCTAGCAGAGGACGACGATTCAGGCTCAAACGTCAATCTCGAAGAGGTGCGGGCCTTTTTTGAGAGAAATACCCGTGTGGAGGCGAGGACGGAGGGTCCTAACCGACATGTGATCATTCCCATGGGTTACGATCTCTTGTCGAACGCTGAGCAGGCAGTGTCATCCTTTGCTCCCTTGTGCTCCGCCTCTGAGAACGCGGCGCTTCAGGCGATGAGCGATGCAGAGCTATCGCAGAGTATTTCTGGCATGGCTTTGCGAGTAAGTGTTTTCTCTTTTCTCTTTTTTTTGTTAGGATTTGTTTTGCATGCGTAATCTCTTGTGCTTACTTTCTTTCTTCTTTATGTCGGACTCTTATTATGGGGATCGAGCGTGACCAGAGGGAAGAGCGTAGGGCGGCCATTTTTAAGAAGATGACCTCCAAGTATAAAGAGTACTGTACCAAGCATCGTGCGTTGGCCGATGTCTTTACTCAAGATAGCGAATTTCAGCTATTTCGCGACGGGCTTAAACAGAAAGAGGAAGAGTTGGCGCAAAAAGTTGAAGAGCTGAAGGAGCGGGACGATGGGCTGATGAAGGCCATAGGTCGGTGCAACGAACTTTAGGCGGCTCTTAAGGCCAAGGATGATGAGCTCGAGGTGAGCAAGGGGGTGATGGCTGAGAACGCTGATCTTCAGGCGCGGGTGGCTTCTTTAACTTCTGAGCTTGGGCAAAGGGAACCGGAGGTAGTCGATCTGAAGGGCGAGTTGAGCGCTAAAGTCGATGAGTTGGCTCGTGCCGAGAAAGGGCAGAGTGACCGCCATATCTGAAGTAACATCCTTGGATGAGGACCTCTGTGTTTGTAGGTTTGAGCAGGGTAATGAGATGGAGACATCGACGCTTAAGGTAGCGAGGCTAGAAGAGCAGATTCAAGATCTGGAGGCGGAGTTGTTCGGATTAAATGAACAGGTTGTTGCTTTGAAGGCTGAGCAAGTGCGACGGCAGTCGCAGCCGTCTACGTCTCATACTTCTACCGATCCCATTATGTCGCGGGAGTTGTATGAGATGTGGGTTCATGCC